ACAAGTTAACTTCCACACACAATTTAATAATTATTTTCATATTAGTAGACAGCATCATAGTTCCATAGTACGAATAAGATAATAAAGGATACTGATTTTTTTCACAAAAGCATCATTTTAAAATTCAAACACTATAAGCTAAAGCAATTTATGTGTGTATGTCAGGTATACCTCAGAGATATTGCAGGTTTGGTTCCAGAACACCACAACAGAGCAAATATCACAATAAAGCAAATACTGCAATAACGTGAGTCACACGAAGTCTTTGGTTTCCCAATGTATATGAAAGTTGTGTTTATATTATACTGTAGTCTGTTAAGCATGCAATAGCATTTTGTCTAAAAACACAATGTACGTATCTTGATTTTAAAATACTTTATTGCTAGGCCGGGCACGGTGGCTCACGCCTGTAATCCTAGCACTCTGGGAGGCCGAGGCGGGTGGATCGTTCCGAGCTCAGGAGTTCAAGACTAGCCTGAGCAAGAGCGAGACCCCGTCTCTACCAAAAAATGGAAAGAAATTAATTGGACAGCTAAAAATATATGTAGAAAAAATTAGCCGGGCATGGTGGCGCGTGCCTGTGGTCCCAGCTACTCAGGAGGCTGAGACAGTAGGATTGCTTGAGCCCAGGAGTTTGAGGTTGCTGTGAGCTAGGCTGACGCCACGGCACTTGCCCCAGGCAAGAAAGTGAGACTCTGTCTCAAAAAAAAAATAAAATAAAATACTTTATTGCTAAAAAATGCCAAGGATCATCTGAGCCTTCAGTGTGAGTTGGAGTCTTTTTGCTGGTGGAGGAGGGTCTTGCTTTGATGTTCATGCTGCTGACTGATCAGGGTGGTGGTTGCCAAATCTTGGGGTAACTGTGGCAATTTCTTAAAATAAGACAACAATGAAGTTTGCTGCATCACCTTTCATGAAAGGAAGCATGTAGTATGCAATGCTGTTTGATAGCATTTTACCCATGGTAGAACTTCTTTCAAAGTTGGAGTCAATCCTCTCAAACGCTGCTGATGCTTTATCAACTAGGCTTATGTAATATTCTAAATTCTTTGTTGTCATTTCAACAATGTTAATAGCATCTTCACCAGGCATAGATTTTATCTCAACAAACCACTTTTTTTTTGCTCATCCATAAAAACAACTTGTCATTCATAAACATTTTATCGTGAGATTACAGCAATTCAATCACATCTTCAGGCTCCACTTCTAATTCTGGTTCTCTTGATATTTCCACCATGCCTACAGTTACTTCCTTCACTGAAGTCTTGAACCCCTCAAAGCCATCTGTAAGAGTTGGAATCAACTTCTTCTAAACTCCTGTTAATGTTGATATTTTGACCTGTTCCTTATGATAATTCTTAATGAAATCTAAAATAGTGAATTCTCTCCAGGAGATTTTCAATTTACTTTTCCCAGCTCCATTAGAGGAATCACTAATCTATGGCAACTCTAGCCTTACAAACTGTGTTTCTTAAATAATAAGACTTGAAAGTCAAAACTACTCCTTGATCCATGGGCTGCGGAATGGATGTGGTGTTAGCAGGCATGAAAACAACATTCATCTCCTTGTACATCTCCATCAGAGCTCTTGGGTGACCAGGTGCATTGTTAATGAGTAGTAATATTTTGAAAGGAATCTTTTTTTATGAGCAGTAAGGCTCAACACTGGATTTAAAATATTCAGTAAACTGCTGTTAATAGATGTGCTGTCATCTGGGCTTTGTTGTTCTGTTTATAGAGCACAAGCAGAATAGATTTAGTGTAACTCTTAAGGGCCCTAGGATTTTCAAAATGGTAAACGAGCACTGGCTTCAACTTAGTCACCAGCTGCATTAACCCCTAACAAGAGAGCCAAGCTGTCCCTTGAAGCTTTGAAGCCAGATACTGACTTTTTTCTAGCTATAAAAGTCCTAGATGGCATCTAGGGCTGTTTCATCTACATTGAAAATCTGTTGTTTAGAGTAGCTTTCTTCATCAATGATCTTGGCTAGATCTTCTAGATAACTTGCTTCAGCTTCTACATCAGTACTTGCTGCTTCATCTTGCACATTTATGTTATGGAGACGGCTTCTTTCCTTAAACCTCTTGAATCAAGCTCTGCTAGCTTCCAACTTTTCTTCTACAGCTTACTTACCTGTCTCAGGCTTCACAGAATTGACAAGAATTAGGGCCTTGCTCTTAGTTAGGCTTTGGCGTAAGGGAATGTTGTGGCTGATTTGACCTTCTACTCAGATTACTAAAACTTTCTCCATATCAACAATAAGGCTATTTTGCTTTCTTATCATTCATGTGTTCACTGGAGTAGCACTTTTAATCTTCAAGTACTTTTCCTTTGTATTCACAGCTTGCCTAACTGTTTGGCATAAGGAGCCCAGCTTTCAGCGTATCTTAGCTTTTGATATGCCTTCCTCACTAAGCTTAATCATTTCTAGCTTTTGATTTAAGGTGAGAGACCATGTCACTCTTCCTTTCACTTGACCATTTAGAGGCCATTGTAGGGTTGTTCATTGGCCTAATTTCAGTATTGTTGTGTCTCGGGGAATAGGGATGCCCAAGGAGAAGAGAGATGGGGGAACAGCCAGTCAGTGAAGCATTGAGAATACACACAACATGTATTATTAAGTTTGCTGCCTTATATGGGCATGGTTCATGGTGTCCTAAAACAATTAGAATAGTAACATCAGAGATCACTGGTCATAGATCACCAGATATAATTATAATGAATAAGTCTGAAATATTGCAAGAATTGCCAAAACATGAAACAGAGAGAGAAGTTGAGCACATGCTGTTGGAAAAATGGTGCTGATAGATTTGTGCAATGCAAGGTTGTCACAAACCTTCAACTTACTAAAAAAAAGGAAAAGAAAAAACTCACAATATTCATGAAGCACAGTGAAGTGAAGCACAGTTAGATGAGGTATGCCTGTATAATGGTTATGGCTATGTACAAATTGCCTTTGAATGTGGGAGATTATATGTAATAATGAAGACAGTTGTTTTGATAGTGTATGATTATGAGTTTATTTTCTTAAAAGAACAAAACAAATGTATTAGCTTCTATGTTTTATATTAATCAAATAGTAATGTCTGAATTGTGGTTTTGGAAAAGATAACTATTTAAATGCTTGGCACGCTTTAGATAATTATATGATGAAGAGCGTTGTACTTTATTTAAATAAAATTATAGTTTTAGTCAATATTTTTAAATCATTTATGATTTTTAAAATTTAACTCTCCTTATTGCATGTATATAATAGCTTTGCCATAGTATTCAGGTAGTTATATTATCATCAGTACTAGTCAAATTAGTCAAGTTCATTGATTATATTCATTTTAAATTGAACATGGTGTTGTAAATTCTATTATAGCTATTACGTTCTTTCAGTTTTATAAGTTCAAGTATTATATATATAAATTTTATGATTTGTAAGGAAACACAAACCATATAAAACACAAATTTTAAAAATTCTTTTAAAAAATCCTGTGGAATAGTTATCTGTTAGCTCCACGTTAAAAGTCCTTTTCTCTCAAACTTACACAACACTCTTGGATTATTCAGACAAGCATAGATAAGTAAGGAGTCTAAAGAATGTGGCTTATTTCATAACTTTAAAACTTGGACAGTGATTTGGGAGTGCAGCTTAGTACCAATCCTTTTCTAAATAAAATTCTGCTTCATTTGCAACTCTGAACATACAGACTGAAGGGGTGGTTCCCTCGGCCAGTGCCTGACCTCTGTGCACACCTTGGTTGATCTTGACCTCGCCCACACTGCACACCGCAGCCATATAAATCAGATTTTGACATGTTGTAAAATGCAAGTCACAGCTGCTATAGTCTGCAGTATTCAAAAACTTTTGAAACACTGCATTTCCAACTAAACTTATTTTTTGTGTGAATTTAAGTTTTTATTGAGGGTAAGTCCTATTTGTTTGGAAAAAAGAAACTCAGAATGAGCCAGTGATTATCTGAAATCAAATGAATAATATCTTTTTTTCTTTCTTTCTCTTCCTTCCCTCCCCCTTGTCTCTTCCTCTCTCTCTCTGTTTGTCTGTGTAAGACAGAGCGATTGGCTTTGGGAGAAGACCTTGATATTACACCTGTGTTAATGGGAAGTTGTAGATTGAGATTTCTGTTACAAAGTCTTTGTGCTTAGGTCAGGAGTAGGTGGCCTTTAAGGAACAGAATTGAGAGCTTGTGATCATAATGTAAGTATAAATGCTTCATCTCTTCAAATATGTTTTAATTCCGTTCTATTATAGCAAATAACTTTACACATAACTATGTCTCATTAGCTACTTTGCTTTGCCAGATACCAGACATTGTTTAAAAGAAAGGCATGTGTAGACTGGTAAATGTAATGTGTAATCTACAGGAAACTTAAAAGTGCTTTTATAAAAGGTTTTAAAGGTTCTATAGAAATGTAAAAATTTTAATTGCTGTTAAAGATTTTTCTATAATATTTGGCTATTTTCAATAAATTGGAAAATGGGAAGTTACTGATTGTACTTAAAAGTCAGATTGTATAAATAGGATTTATGAAAAAGTAAAAAGTCAATTGAGGTCATTCAGTTTCATTTACTACCTCAGATCTTTCATATAAAATCTCATAGTACACTACTGTATTAATAATGTTTACTAAAGATAAAGCTTATTAGACTTTTCTGCAGAGAGATATTTAAGATTAAATTATATTATTCAGGCAACGATTTATATTTAGTGCATTTATACTATTTAATGTTGATCTTTTAGTTTTATCTGTTCAGATTTTTTATTGATATGTAGTAAGTATCTAAAAAAATATGGTGTAACTAAACTTCTGCTGGTATGTAATGTCTTAATTATTCTCAACATTTAAGAGTATTGCTATTAGAATATTTGACATTTTATAATATCCTCAAAAGAAGATAATTTTTCCTAAGTTATTAATTTTAAACTGTTTTAGGTGCTGTTTTTCAACCCTAATTTTTGACCAAGAATGAAACTATTTAAAAATTAAGATGCCAACAGGTAATTTCTTGTAAGTTTATACTTTTGTCAATGTGTGTAACATAGCAATAGAACAACAACAAAAAATGTATATTAACACAAGGCTTTATTGTTTCCATCTAATATCATTCCAGAATATGAAATATTTTGGTTTTGAAAGCCCTTCCTTTATAACATAAAATAACTATTTTATTTTAGACTTACATGTTTTATTGGTTTTTATAAACTGACAAATTCTAGCTTATTCTATATCTGAAATCAACTTCTCAAATAATAAATAAATGAAATCAGTGGTGGGGCATTGTGGCTCACACCTGTAATCCCAGCACTTTGGGAGGCTGAGGTGGGAGGATCACTGGAGGCTAAGAGTTCTAGACCAGCCTGGGCAACATGGTGAGACCTCGTCTCTACAAAAAAGTATTTAAAAAATTAGTCGGGTGTGGTGGTGTGGGCCTGTAGTCCCAACTACCAGGGAGGCTGAGGCAGTAGGATTGCTTGAGCCTGGAAGTTCGATGTTGCAGTGAGCTATGATCACACCACTGCACTCCAGCCTGGACAACAGAGTGAGACCAAGAAATCAGCCAGAGTAAAAATAGATTCAGTTATAGTCATTCAGGTTAGATGAGTTTGCTTTGCTGATAAAATACCAAATGTTGAGAGATATCTGGTTATAATCCAGTTAAAAACAAAGACATTAATTTTTAACAGTGATAGTTACATTGCACCCTTAATGGAAAACCATATGTGATGGTTCTCGTGATGCTGATATAATGAAATGTTGATTGAGATTTTATTTGTTAGCCAAATCATTCCTGAAAATGTATATAATCTTATTAAAAGTTTTTTGATTATAATGAAGCATGGCATTGTGTAAAAAAAAAATAAATCTTTAAAAATTAGTTTTGGTTAGTTTACTTTCTCCTTTACTAGTTAAATTCTCTTTAGTTCTGTTTTCCTCTTTACATTTTTTTATTTTTATAGTTAATAATGCGATGTTGAAGTAGGTTTTTCTCAATCTAAAGTAAAAAAGTTTTAAAATTTCTAATTCTAATTATGGAGACATCTGACTCATAGCAATTGTATCTTAATGGCTATTGACATCTTAGTGGCAAATAAGTGCTAGAAAATTTTTTAAAAATTTAGTATTCTTTTTGTTTAAATGCCAAATTGGAGGCCTAATAGGAGTAATGTCATTTTCTTTTTCACGTTAGGTGATTCTGGGTCATTTCCTAGACAGAAACAATCAGGAACTAACAATGTGTAATTTTAAAGCAAAATAATCCCCCCTTTAAGGCTAAAAGATAGAGTATTCAGCTGTGTTCTTTTCTCATCATAAATTAGTAATATAATGACTCAATGAATTCTTCTATTATTGTTTCTAATTTTTTTCTATACAGTAACTTTGGTGGCCAGGAGTCAAAGCAAAGGGATTTTTTTTTTTTCAAGATAACTGGGTCAGGGTGAGGCTGGAAGGGAGGAGAGGTACCAAGGGAGAAAAGGAAGGCAAAGAGGTAAAAGAAAGATAAAGGAAAGGTCAGAGATAAAGAAGGAAGGTGAGGATGGAGAAAGAGGAGGAAGAGAAAAGAAGCAAGAGATAAATGGCGGTTTATTTTCTTAATATTCTGAAACATTTGGATGTATGACTTAGGTTTATAATTTTACTTTAGAACTTTAGATATTTCTTTACAGTTAGTAGCTATTACCTAAAATCACCTTGCAAACCAAAACTGTATACGATTATTTTTGGCTTTCACATTAAGACTGTCACATAGGAATATTTAAAAATAATTTTGGAAATAAAAATTTATTTCAGTCATCTAAATCTTTTTTCCACCACAGTTTCAAATTTTGGTACATTTGGGACCCAATAGGAAAAATAAGAATCGAAATAAAACCTTGGGACAGGGAAGCTCTAAGTAATAATGCAGAATCTTTGTATTAAATAAGAAAGGTCCTATTTATTCTAAGATCCTAATCACCTTTTAATCTGACTAATATAGATATTCCTTATTTCTATTATGTAGCTTCTAAATCCATTATAATTAATGGCCATATCTTTAGGATGGATTAATTTTTCCCTCAAAAGGATGGAAGTTCCTATCAAGTAAGGAATAAGATTAAGTCTTTCACTTTGAGAAAAAATTCTTAACTGTGAATTTTATGATTGCTACTTCATTCTAAGATGGTTATTCCTATTCCTTGTTGCATTAGAAAAACTTTAATTGCCTTTCTCTATTCCATATATGTATGTGTTTTAGATCACGAAGAGCCATGTGGTCCCAGTCACAGGTCGTTTTGCCTGAATGGGGGGATTTGTTATGTGATACCTACTATTCCCAGCCCATTTTGTAGGTGAGTGAAATGGACTGGGGGGAGAGGGTAATTTTATTTTTTATTATCTACTAACTTCTTTGAGAAATGATTAAAAAGTAAGCAAAAAATGTAAGATGAAAAAGTGTTTTCATATTTACATAGGGTAAAATTATGCTTTTAATACAAACAAAAACAAAGTAGCAAAAAATCTCTCTCATCAGATATTTATTTTGAAAATGGGTAATAGTAGTTTCTAGCCTAGACAGATTTCTTAGAAATAATCCATTTCAGTGAGCTCTCTGATTTTAGCAATTTAGGGAAGACAGTCTATGTTTAACATTACTGGCAAAACAGCTAGAGAATTCACTAATGTCAAAAGCCCAACATGAGATATTTTGTTTTGAGTTTAGAATACGTAAATACATGATAACTGAGTTGGTACCAAAACTTACACTTTATACGTTAAAAAGAAAATGAAGAGTTAAGTTTTTCTAATGGTAGTAGCAAATAAAAAAGAAGGGTCTCTTAGCCACTCTTGTTTTAAAATAACATACTTCACTTTGGGAGTATGGATATAGCCAGTGATCAATAAAGACTTCAAAATAGTAATTGCATAGCTGGCTTCCTGTAAGTTTGGTTGAATAGAATTTAAGTGTATATAATAATTCTCTTTTAATACATGAGTTAGCAACATAGTACTGCCAATGAGGCCTGTAGACTTTGTGGAGCTAACAACTAAAGACCTCACGATATTTTGTAATGTATGTGAATTACTATTCTTTTGTTCTTTAACTGAAATGAGAGGTATACAATCTAAATTTAAGATCTTGCTATGCAAAAGGATAGAAAGGTGAAATTCATAGGGAAAGTTAAAGATACTGGATTTAGTGTGAAGGAGAGGAGGCCAAGAGTAATAACCTCATAGTTATCGCAGGAAGGTTTTAGGGATTTTCTTATGAATAGTGCCTAGGTGTTTTTCCTTTCAAGTGAATATAGAAAGGGAAGGGGATGGAGAAACAAACTAACAATTACTTAACACCTACCCCTGTGCCTCAACAATGTTCTTTTTGTTTCTTTTTAAATCTGTTTACTGAGATATAATTTATATATGATAAACTTCATTCATTTAAAGTGCACAGTTGATTAATTTTGACAGATATTTATACCTGTGAAGTCGCCACCACCACCACGTCAAAATATGTTAATAGAATATTTCCATTGCTCCCCCCAAATTTTGCTGCTGATCTTGTTCTTTGTTTACATTTTAAATCTTCTCTCAAAAACCTTAGACAGAGAAAGGAGGCAGGGAGACCTTAGAAAACAGAAAAATAAGAAGAAAATGAGAAATTAAGTGACTTGTCAAAGGTCACATAGCCAGGAAGAAAAAAGAAATGGCCTTTGAATACAACTCCCAAGTTTTGCTTAACCTTATATTCATTCTGAATTTTTTCTATGGGGATATGGCATTTATAAAATGAAACTAAAATGCTTGTCAGAAGAAGTGTATTTAATGTTAACAATTTTCAAATATATATTTGCTTCATCCTAAAAATTTTATAGTTTGTTATTCGGTTTTAAGTTTTAAAATTTTTCCATTATGATTTCTTTAAGCTATGGAGTTTTTTGTTATCCTTTTATATCTAATTTAATTGTATTGTGGTCAGAGTACTTGGTCCATCAAGCTGTATACTTAATATTTGTCTGTGTACTAAGTGTCTGTTATACTGCACTGCATAAGTTGAAAGAAAGAATTAGGAGTATTGGAATTTGGAGATTTATTAAAATGGAAGGAAACCTAGGTTGTCACCCTGCTTTTGTACCTTGGTAAGATGCATTTTTAGTATATTTTCAAAAAGTTACCAATGAAAGACAATGGCCAACTTTGCTGGTAACCCACATCAGGTTTAAAAATATGTCCTGTTTCTTCCTAATTTCAAACTTTAAGAGTAGTAAGTAAGGAGTAGTTGAAACCATGCCTCATGGGTTTATAAGGGATAGAGAATGAAGCAAGGTTGCACATGTTGCACAACAGCAGGATATTCTGTGGGACTGGCACCTTCTACGCAATGTGGATGGCGTACCCTGGAGTTGTTAAACACCTCAAGTGAAGCAGTTGAGGGAGGAACAAAAAGGAACACAGTGACTGAAGGTTCAGTGAAGTTGAATAGCAGATATATTTTAAATCATATTTTATAGAAATAATAGCTTTCCAGTGCTTTTAGGACCTCATTTTTAATGTAGCCCTGTAGGCTATAATAACAATATTTAAGGGTGCAAAAAGAAAAGCCCCTTCTTACAGTGTTCCTCCAGTGCCCTTTACTGACAAGGCCTAACATTGTGCAAACTGGTAAAGGAGAAATGTAGGTTGAAGCCACAGTTTCACAAAACTAGGTCGAGGAAGGGTAGATTTAGAGGTGAGGGGTGATAAAGTGCTAAGTGGCATAGTCTACTCCTTTGGCTACTCACCTTCTTTATGTACCTTCTACACATTTGAACTTACACGCAATAAAAAAAATTCTTGCACTTACCCAAATGAAGGAGCATCCAGTGCCAAAAGTCATTGTTTTCATAGCTAGTAATATTAATTATTCCTCAAACTTCATTGTGATGTGGCTGAATATACTATTGCATAAAGACTAATTGCTAAGGTTAACCTTCAGTAATAGCAAGAAGAAGAAAGAAATGGTTAATATCCAAATGAAGACATACACATAATAAGCAAAGAAAATACGTGTTACAGTCCTTTTTGTAAGTAATTAGTCATGAGACTATAGATGGTATCTATGGCCTCCTCTGCTACTACCTGTTCCATATTTCCCTTGTCTTCACTCATAACCTTAGTAGGTTTCTTACTTGTTAGAGAGACCCAAACCTTCCTTCCTGAGAGATATGAGTCCTCAATATTCCTGCTGCTTTTTGGTTGCTATAATTTGCAATTAACCCATACTGTTGGGTGTAGACATATTGACAGTATTGAGAGGCACCCCAAAGAATTCCCTGGGTTCAGGTAGTCTTCCTTTCCCCTATTATGTAACAGTAACCCAATTTCCTCTTGGTAATTGGGATCAACCACTCAAGCCAATAGAGGAACTCACTCTTCTTACTTTTGATTTAGTGGCATGAAGAGCCCAAAATTACCAGGCAGGAGTCTTATCTCTTAATTTATTGTTTTATTCCCTTATGGAATCATTCTCCCCTTGGGGACTATGATCTCTGTACTCTATAGGTAGGGAGAGCAAAATTGTTTGGATGAGAATTAAAAATTCAGCAAATGGGTTATTAGGTATAATAGTGACTGAAGCCACTACTGTTCTACCTCTTAATTCCCTGACTCATGTATTCTGACTATGTAGGAGACAGCACCGTGAGATGATCTCTGATTCAAAGCATATATTGCATCCTACACGACAGAGCTCCATCCTTTCAGGGTGTTGTCTCCCAACTGGCATCATTTTATCTTTAATTAATCCAGATGCTTCTGAGTGGCAGCATATATGGTAAAAATCATCTAGTTTCATAGACATGAGCTCAGAGCTTCTCTTCCTTGGCTGTGAAATTAGTTCCATGATCAGAAGCAATGTTCTGTGGAATACCATGATGATGGATAAGTCCATGGATGGTGGTGCTAGCAGAGCATTATTAGCAGAAAAGGTGAATCCATATTCAGAATATGTCTATTCCAGTGAGAATAAATCTCTGCCTCCCTCCGTGATGGAAAAAGGTGTAGTGTATTCAACCTATCACCAAATAGCTGACTGTTTCCCCAGGAAATGGTTCCGTATCAGGGACTCAGTGTTGATCTCTTCCTTGGCAGACTTGGCGCTGAGTAGTAGCATTAGTCATGTCAGCTCTGGTAAGGGGAGGTCCATGTTGTTGAGCTCATTCATATCCTCCCTCTGCCACCATGGTCACTTTGTTACTGGACCCATTGAGCAAGCACTAGGGCAGCTGAAGAGAGAAGGTGACAGAAAAAGTGTTATTTTGGTTGCTAATCATACATAAACTAGTTAGTAGGAACTTCCTCTGCAGTGAAAGTCTTTTGTTGGGCAATCACAATGGGCACAGATACCGTCACAGTCTGTGCCCATTCCTAAACATCCATCCACCTACTTCTTCCCCAGGTTTCCTTGTCATCAATCTTCCAATCTTGTTATTACTACCCCTGACCATCCAGCCAAATTGTTAACAACTGTCCTTAGATCTGTGCATATCTGTAGAGCACTGCCCATAGATCCATACTTCTGTCCATCTCTCCAGATAAAGTAAACAGACAGTATACTGCTCAAAGTTCTGCCCACTGGGAGGATTTTCTTTCATTAGTTGCTCATTAGGGTCACCGCTGAGTAGGGCTGTGATGCTATAGCTGTCCACTTTCAGGTGGTGTAAGCATATTATACAGATCCTCTCATAAACTGGGCTTGAACAGTTTCTTCCTTAGTTGATCATAAGGAACTCCCCAGGAAGCTGTAGGCATAGATCGAGTGAAAAGAGGTAATGCAACAGAAGTCAGAGCCTGAACTACCTGCTCCTGTAACTTACACCTTCTAGACTTGTCTGCTTGATCTTATAGGCCATTTGAGTGTGCATACTCAAAACTTACAGCTAGTTGAGTCAAACAGCACCCGGTTCACAATGGGAAGCTCAGGTCACGTGGTCTTCTGATGCCGCATGTGGTATCACCCATGGTTATATGTGGTCTACAAAGGAAAGCAACTACAGAGCTTTTCAAAGATATAGGTGATGCTCTCACTAATACATTTACAAATGCCATAGTGACAGGAGTGCCTTCTAGGTCTTCTTGGGAGATGATGCGATAAGGTGAACATGCAGGTAACACATGACAGATCCACTCCAGCGTTCCTATTGCCCTAAGCCCTTATCTCCCCTCCTCCATGGCACCAGTCCCCAACCTTTTTGGCACCAGGGACTGGTTTCATGGAAGACAATTTTTCCATGGCTGGCGGGAGGCAGAGCTCAGTCGGTGATGCAAGTGATGGGGAGCAGCTGTAAATACAGATGAAACTTCGCTTGCTTGCCAC